ACATGAAACCACATCTGGGGTTCATTTCAATTGCCACTGAAGACGTGTCTCTTTGAGGTTGCCTCCAAACATTACTTCGTTCCTTGAGCGCCCAACCTTTGAACAATGGGACCATCCAGGTGGCTTATGGGACACAACTGCACAAAATATATCACCCATCCTATCACACAAAACCACATCTCTCTGTTACCTTCCAATTTTCACTATCAGTCTGGTTGAGATGACTTGGGGTGCATCCACATTCTAGAATTCATACAGCTTGACACCACTAACCACCATGACTCAATACTATGGATTCATGAAAGTTGTAGTTTGAAAAGTCCTTTAGCCTTCTCTGCCCTAGAGTGTCAATGCCTCAACAAACTACAACTCCCAGGATCCCATGGCCTAGAGCCATGGTAGTTCGAGTGGATCCAAAGTGCATTAATTCTACAGTGTAGTCAAGTGGTTCTCAACCTGGGGTCCCCAGATGCTTTTGGCCTTCAACTCCCAGAAATCCTAACAGCTGGTAAACTGGCTGGGATTTCTGGGAGTTGTAGGCCAAAAACATCTGGGGACCCCAGGTTGAGAACCACTGGTGTAGTTTCTTCCTTAGGTGATTCCTCATTGTCCAAGTAGGATAGTCTTCCAGGATCTTGGCAGTGGGTCCGTAGGTGGCTGTGGAGCCCTATTCGTGACCTGCATCTTCTCCCACAGTGAGGGAATTGGTTTCCAGGTGGAAGGCTGTTCCGGTCAGGGTTGACTTGACATGCCTTCCTCTTGGCACATTTCTCTCTTTCGCCCTCCATTCGTGCCTCTTCAAATTCTGCAGCACTGCTGGTCACAGCTGACCTCCATCTGGAGCACTCAAGGGCCAGGGCTTCCCAGTTCTCAGTGTCTATGCCAGAGTTTTTAAGGTTGGCTTTGAGGCCATCTTTAAATCTCTTTTCCTGCCCACCAACATTCCGTTTTCCGTTCTTGAGTTCGGAGTAGAGCAACTGCTTTGGGAGACGGTGGTCAGGCATCCGGACAACGTGGCCGGTCCAGCGGAGTTGATGTTGGAGGACCATCGCTTCAATGCTGGTGGTCTTTGCTTCTTCCAGCACGCTGACGTTTGTCCGCTTGTCTTCCCAGGAGATTTGCAGGATTTTCCGGAGGCAGCGCTGATGGAAATGTTCCAGGAGCTGCATGTGACGTCTGTAGACAGTCCACGTCTCACAGGCATATAGCAGGGTTGGGAGGACAATAGCTTTATAAACACCTTGGTATCCCTACGGATGTCCCGGTCCTCAAACACTCTCTGCTTCATTCTGGAAAATGCTGCACTTGCAGAGCTCAGGCGGTGTTGTATTTCAGCGTCAACCACCTCTCTACCAAAGTCAACATTGACACTGAAATACAACACCGCCTGAGCTCTGCGAGTGCAGCATTTTTCTAAATGAAGCAGAGAGTGTTTGAGGACCGGGACATCCGTAGGGAATGGTTCACATTTTCTAATGTTACACCATTAAGCTGTATCTCTGGCATTGGAGAGGGGATGGCTGGTGACTGCTGAAAGAGCACTTTGGTTTCTCGATGTTCAATGACAGGCCGAGCTTCTCGTACGCTTCTGAGAAGGTGTTTAGAGTGGCTTGTAGATCTTCTTCTGAATGCACACAGATAACATTGTCATTGGCATACTGGAGTTCTATAACAGATGTTGTTGTAACCTTGGTTTTGGCTTTCAGTCTGCTGAAGTTAAACAGCTGCCCATCTGTCCAATAGACGATCTACACTCTGGTGGGAAGCTTCCCATCAACAAGATGAAGTATTATAGCGATGAAGATGGAGTTAGGACAATAACATCCCTGTTTGACACCTGATTTCACCTTACAGTGTAGATGCACCTATAGGTCCCCAAATGAGCTTTAGTGAACTCGTAAAGTGACATAGAGTCCTTGAAATATGGTGGTCAACCCATGGAGGAATGTCCAGGAAGCCATTTAGGCTTGTGATGGATAAAGCTGAATGGTGTAACTCTAGAACAGTGTCTCTCAACCTTCCTAATGCTGTGACCCCTTAATACAGTTCCTCATGTTGTGTTGACCCCACAACCATAACATTATTTTCGTTGCTACTTCATAACTGCAATTTTGTTACTGTTATGAATTGTCATGTAAATATCTGATATGCAGGATGGATTTTCATTTAGTGGACCAAATTTGGCACAAATATTTGGTACACCCATATTTGAATACTGGTGAGGTTGGGGGGTAGGTGTAGAGTTTGTCATTTGGGAGTTGTAGTTGCTGGGATTTATAGTTCACCTACAATCAAAGAGCATTCTCAACTTCACCAACAATGGAATTGAACCAAACTTGGCACACAGAACTCCCATGACGAACAGAAAATACTGGAAAGCTTTGGTGGGCATTGACTTCCGCTTTGGGAATTGTAGTTCACCCACTTCTAGAGAGCACTGTGGGCTCAAACAATGATGGATCCGGACCAAAGTTGGCACAAATATTCCATATGCCCAAATATGAACACAGATGGAGTTTGGGGGAAATAGACCTTGACATTTGACAGTTGTAGTTACTAGGATTTATAGTTCACCCACAATCAATGAGCATTCTGAATCCCACCAATGACAGAATTGGGGCAAACTTCCCACACAGAACCCTATCATCAACAGGAAATACTGGAAGGACAAGAAAACGTCATCAAAGCCCTCCTGACAAAGAGCCATCCAGCCATAGAGATAGATAGACAGATAGATAGATAGATAGATAGATAGATAGATAGATAGATAGATAGATAGATATGATTCACATACACACAGATATAGTATCATAGATTTGATAGGAACTTTAGGAGGGTCGTCCCCGGGAGGAGGGACCCTGAGACCCCACCAAAGAGAAGCCTGATTTCAGCAACTTTTATTTCCTTAAAAATTCCAAATAAATCTCACCAAAGTTGAAGAAGCAGCACCGAGGTGTTTTATTAGCGATTCAGCTGAAAAGGATGCAATGTAGCAATCATTTGCCTACAGAGCATATCGTTACAGAGATCAGAGACATTTTTATAGGAAAAACAGGCTTAGAAGTTTCAAAATTCCCACCCTCCGTCCTCCGCCTGGCTCGATGGTGATTGGCTGAGGCGATAACAGCTGGGAGTAGGCTCGGCAGGAGCCAATGGGAGAGCTCCTACCACCTCAGCGCTCTGGCGAATCAGGAGAAGGGAGGCGGGACGAAGAAGAAACAATGGGCTTGTGAATGGATTATGGGTTTCATGCCTTGGGGGTCCTGAGTTCGAGAAATCTGGTCTGCAAAGGATGTCCAGCCTATTGTCTTTAAACGGATCTGTGATATGCGTTAATTGCTTTATCCGGGTCTTCCTGTCGCTATCAGATATGAAACAATGAAGAGGCTGGGGTGAATGTTGGTTGTAGCAAGTTTTGAAAGGAAAGACAGTTTCGGGGAGAAAAGACCTTACGAGGGTCTTTCCGTGCACCCCTTTCATTGAGTGGACCAACTCCGAGACTCAACTTAAGGCTTCCAATTCTATGTTTTCCATGCACAAGTTATCATGATAAGAATTCTTTGTGACTGCTAATTGTCCTTTCCACACAGCTGGTAGCTTCTTGATTGATTTCCCCCGAGGGGAAGAGGAAAGGGGCAACGAGTTCAGAGTCAGGTCAGAAAAATATGAGGGAAGAATACATGGGGAAATATGGGAATCACAAGAAATTCATATCAAACACCTCCCTCCCTCCACCATCCACCGGAGAAATTGATTAAAATAATAATTTCAATAAAATATATGTCCATAGTTCATACGGGGCAAATTCATAAGAGAAAATGAGTTCATTAGAGCCGAAAAGGTTTTGTAGAAAGTCCAACAGTCACAAAGGAGCTTGGTGATTTCCACTGAGCCAAGGAATGTATTCTCGCAGCACCAAGATGAATCTGGTTCTTAGTCCTTGGGAAACTATAACTCCCTCCAAGGACTGGGACCTCAAGGCCAGGCTCTTCCCCGAGAGCCTCATGGGGCAGCTGCACCGAGTCTTCAGGGCAGGGGCCTGGCAGAGGCGATGTAATGGCGAAAAGCAGCAGCGCAGCAGCAGTGGAGCCGGCCTTTTGACAATCAGCTGTTTATTGAAATAATATTCTTAAAACTAAAAGGATTATTCCCTGGGCGTAGAAGCCTGAAATGCAAAAAGCGAGACAGCAGATAGTGTTAGAATTAAGCTAGGAAAAATATGCCACCAAAATGGAGGCGATCCGCCATCTCGCGGATACGGGGGCCCCTTGGGGTTTCCGTATCCGCGGTTTGGAGGAGTGCAGATTCGGCCTCCCTGGAACGCCAAGAAGGCATTCCGGGCAGGCCTGCAGTCTCCCGCAGCCTGGAAAAGGTTAGTTTCATGCATTTGGATAGTTTCAGGCAAGAAGAGACACAAAGTATCAATGCTAAGGAGTTAAAAGTTGCAATTTCAGTAATCTTTATTTAGGGATTAGTTACATTGTTGGGGCTAGCAAGGGAGCGAAAGGAGAGAGCAGACGGCTGTGTGGAGACCCTGGTTGAGCTTGCTGTTGGGGTACATTTCATCAGTTTGGCTCAATCTTTGCACCCAGGAACTGTGGAACTCCCTGCTGCTGGTCACACCAGCTTGAAGGCAGGGGCCTGGGATGCCCTCGACGACACTGCATTTCCTAGATTTGAAATGAGTCACCTTTTGGAGGAATGCAAGCAAGCATAGAATCATAGAATCCTAGAATCAAAGTGTTGGAAGAGACCTCCTGGGCCATCATCCAGTCCAACTCCATTCTGCCAAGAAGCAGGAATATTGCATTCAAATCACCCCTGACAGATGGCCATCCAGTCCCTGTTCCAAAGAAGGAGCAATTGGAATGTGCTTCTGCAAATGTGTTTTTCCACCCAGTTCACCCATGGCCTGGGTTTCTGCCATGTTTCAGGGTGCAGGGAGTCAACCCAGTCCCCAAAGGACCTCCTCATTGGGTGCTTCTCCATGTTCCACAAAGGATGAGAGGAACTGCCATGGGACGGGGAGTTCTATGTGACATCGTTCGGAACACGGCTGTTTATGACGCCAGGCGCTGACAACAGAGCCGGAGGTGGAAACCTCCAGGAGGATGAGGAGGATTCTCCTGCCTCTCCTGGCCCTCACCACGATCCGGCCCATGCACACCATAGAAAACAGATGCAGGTAAGAACTCAGGTCTGGCGTTCAGGGCATGCCACCTCTGCCATTCCTTCCTGCTCAGGGCAAAGATGCTTCTCCTTGGAAGAGAACTCCAGGACTCTGGCGTTCAGAATTCAAAACGATCTTGACAGATTAGAGAGATGGGCCAAAACTAACAAAATGAAGTTCAACAGTGACAAATGCAAGATACTCCACTTTGGCAGAAAAATGAAATGCAAAGATACAGAATGGGTGACGGCCTGGCTCGAGAGCAGTACGTGTGAAAAAGATCTTGGAGTCCTCGTGGACAACAAGTTAAACATGAGCCAAATGTGATGTGGCGGCAAAAAAAGCCAATGGGATTTTGGCCTGCATCAAGAGGAGACTAGTGTCTAGATCTAGGGAAGTCATGCTCCCCATGCTCTATTCCGCTTTGGTTAGACCACACCTGGAATATTGTGTCCAATTCTGGGCACCACAATTCAAGAGAGATATTGACTCTAAGGTGGAATGTGTCCAGAGAAAGAGGATGACTAAAATTCAAGGGTCTGGAGAACAAGCCCTATGAGGAGCGGTTAAGGAGCTGGGCATGTTTAGCCTGAAGAAGAGAAGGCTGAGAGGAGATATGATAGCCATGTATAAATATGTGAGAGGAAGCCACAGGGAGGAGGGAGCAAGCTTGTTTTCTGCTTCCCTGGAGACTAGGACGCAGTGGAACAATGAGGCTTCAAACTACAAGAGAGGAGATTCCACCTGAACATGAGGAAGAACTTCCTGACTGTGAGAGCCGTTCAGCAGTGGAACTCTCTGCCCCGGAGTGTGGTGGAGGCTCCTTCTTTGGAGGCTTTTAAACAGAGGCTGGATGGCCATCTGTCAGGGGTGATTTGAATGCAATATTCCTGCTTCTTGGCAGAATGGGGTTGGACTGGATGGCCCAGGAGGTCTCTTCCAACTCTTTCATTCTATGATTCTAGGAGAGGGAAGCAGGCCGGAGAGGAGGAAAGGAGGGATTGTGGTAGACGCAGTTCCATGGATTCCAGGGTGCTAGCTCAGTGGCATGGTTGGGTGCTTCTCATGCACCTCTTGGAATCCTGATACGCTGATACATATTAATGACATGGAGCTATGTGTGTTTATATGTGACCCGTCTTGAGCCGTCTTGAGCCATGAGGAGAGGAGAGTAAATATAAATAATAATAATAATAATAATAATAATAATAATAAGTAGGTTCTTGTGGGTTTTTTCGGGGTTTTTTGGCCATGTTCTAGAGCAGTGGTTCTCAACCTGTGGGTCCCCAGATGTTTTGGCCTTCAACTCCCAGAAATCCTAACAGCTGGTAAACTGGCTGAGATTTCTGGGAGTTGTAGGCCAAAACATCTGGGGACCCACAGGTTGAGAACCACTGTTCTAGAGGCATTCTCTCCTGACGTTTCGCCTTCATCTATGGCAAGCATCCTCAGAGGTAGTGAGGTCTGTTGGAACTAGGAAAAGGGGGTTTATATGTCTGTGGAATGACCAGCGTGGGACAAAGGACTCTTGTCTGCTAGAGCAGTTCCATGGATTCCAGGGTGCTAGCTCAGTGGCATAGTTGGGTGCTTCTCATGCACCTCTTGGAATCCTGATACGTTGATACGTATTAATGACATGGAGCTATGTGTGTTTATATGAGACCCGTCTTGAGCCGTCTTGAGCCATAGGGAGAGGCGGGTAAATATAACAACAACAACAACAACAACAACAACAACAACAACAACAACAACAACAATTCAGATTTACAGAGTTTTGGAGCACAAGACTCCTGACCTCACGATTGTGTTAAAAAAACAAAGTATGAATTGTCGACGTTGCAATCCCAAGCGACAGCAGGATTTTGAACTGCTAGGTCGGCAGAAGCTGGAGCTGACAGTGGGAGCTCACCCTGCTCCCTGGATTTGAACGGTTAACCTTTCAGTCAGCAAGTTCAGCAGCTTAGCAGAGGCTGAGAAGATCGGGATATAAAAGTTTTAAATAAATAAATAAACAAATTATAAATTAAAAATATTTAATTTTTAATTTATTATTTTTATTATAAATAACAACAACAACAACAACAACAACAACAACAATTCAGATTGACAGAGTTTTGGAGCACAAGACTCCTGACCTCACGATCGTGTTAAAAAAACAAAATATGGATTGTCGATGTTGCAATCCCAGGCGACAGCAGGATTTTGAACTGCTAGGTTGGCAGAAGCTGGGGCTGACAGCAGGAGCTCACCCCGCTCCCTGGATTTGAACCAGTAACCTTTCAGTCAACAGGTTCAGCAGCTCAGCAGAGGCTGAGAAGATCGGGATAGAAAAGTTTTAAATAAATAAATTAATTAATTAACCCGCTGCATGACCAGATGGCCCTAGGTGCATTAGACTTGAGTAAATACAGGTATTTCTCTCTTTGATGTTACTTCTTTTTCCACTCGTTGTTCTGACACAATCTCAGTTTCTGTCAGGCAGAAATATTTGGCCTTTGTAGTTCCACATCAGATTTATTTATCGTGTCATCAGCAACCATACCATTGTATTACATTTCTAACAGAACAAAACAAACACACAGATTTAAAAAAAAAACACAGAGATTTTGCAAACTTGGTAGTTGATTAAATGTCCTTTGACCAGTATCTGGCCCCTTGGAGTGCCTCTGGTGTTGCTGCAAGAAGGTCCTCCATTGTGCATCATGTGGCAGGGCTCAGGGTGCATTGCAGCAGGTGGTCAGCGGTTGGCTCTTCTCCGCACTCACATGTCGTGGATTCCACCCTGTAGCCCCATTTCTTAAGATTGGCTCTGCATCTCGTGGTGCCAAAGCGCAGTCTGTTCAGCACCTTCCAAGTCGCCCAGTCTTCTGTGTGCCCAGGGGGGAGTCTCTCATTTGGTCTCAGCCATGGATTGAGGTTCTGGGTATGAGCCTGCCACTTTTGGACTCTCGCTTGCTGGGGTGTTCCAGCGAGTGTCTCTGTAGATCTTAGAAAACTATGTCTTCTGTTTGCAGTGAGATCTGTGGCCGGCGGCCCCTGGCCCCCTCGCACAGCAGCCCCTTCCCCATCGTCGGAGGGGTCAACACCTTGCCCGGGGCCTGGCCCTGGATGGTCAGCATCCGGAAACCGTCCAAGGAGGGCTACCGGCACACCTGCGGAGGCTCCCTCATCGGGGCCACCTGGGTGCTCACGGCTGCGCACTGCTTCAAGGACAAGAGGTGAGTCAAATGGGCATGGAGGAGGCCACTGAGTCACAGAAGAGGCCAATGGTGGAAAGATCTACAGAGAGCAAACCCTATGAGGACAGGCTGAAAGAGCTGGGCATGTTCAGCCTGTTGGAGAGCCCTCCTCCGCTGTGACTGGCCCATCTCTCAGTCAAGGGGAGCGCTGTTTCTGAGACTCCAAGCGGGGAAGGGAGAGCAGGCGTGCTCAGCGCATGGCAGCATTGAGCAGCAGAGTCTCCTTCTCTGGAAGTTTCCATGCCTCTGGGTGTTGGGAGGGCTTGGTCTGCACCTCCCAGTGTGGTGGAAGTGGGTGGACCGGATGCCCTCTGGGGTTCCCTTCCACCTCTGGGATTCTAGTGCTTCTCCGCCTTCTCTGTCGCAGGCACCTCAGCAACTGGGAGCTGGTCCTGGGTGCCACAGAGCTCTCCCACCCGGGTCCCGATGCCGAGGTGCGCTTCCCCCGGCGAGTGGTGGAGCACGCCGAGTACCAGCCGCAGCACCAGCACAACGACCTGGCCTTGATCGAGCTGGACGAGCCCGTCCTCTGCAACGACTACATCCAGATGGCCTGCCTGCCGGACACCTCGGTCAACGTCTCCACCATGGGCCACTGCTACATCGCGGGCTGGGGCTACACCCAAGAGAAATGTGAGAGCACGCTTTTTTTGCACACTCTCCATATGCTATTTATTTATTCAATTATTTGCAGTATTTCTATTCTGCCCTTCCCACTCTGCAGGGGACTCAGGGTGGATCATTTCCCGGTCCGAATTCAAGGTGCAGGTTCTTACCTACAAAGCCCTGAATGGTTTGGGACCCGCCTACCTGCGTGACCGCATTTCTGTGTACGAACCCACACGATCTCTTCGATCATCTGGAGAGGCCCTGCTCGCACTCCCACCTCCTTCGCAGGCGCGATTGGTAGGGACGAGGGAGAGGGCCTTCTCGGTGGTGGCCCCTTGACTCTGGAACTCACTTCCAAAGGACATTAGACATGGCCCAACGCTGGCAGTCTCTAGGAAGAGCCTGAAAACATGGTTGTCCCAGTGTGCCTTCCCAGAATAAGGAAAACTCTCAGCAATATGTCCGCAAATGCACTTTAACATTGATTTAGGATCACCTGCACGTCTTCCTCTTTCTTTGAAAACCCTATCCTAGTTATACCCTACCTTCTTCATGCCCAGCATCATTTTTAGATTTTAAATTATTACATTTGGCCCGGCCATAGGTTTTTTAAAATGCTTGTATGTTATTGTCATTGTTTATTGTTTATTTTTTGGGTTGTTGTAGGTTTTTCCGGGCTATATGGCCATGTTCTGGAGGCAATTTTTCTCCTGACGTTTCGCCTGCATCTATGGCAAGCATCCTCAGAGGTAGTGAGGTCTGTTGGAAGTAGGAAAAATGGGTTTATATATCTGTGGAATGACCAGGGTGAGACAAAGGACTTTTGTCTGCTGGGGCTAGCTGTGAATGTTTCAGCTGATCACCTTGATTAGCATTCAATGGCTTGGAAGTGCCTGGGGGGAATCTTTTGTTGAGAGTGATTTTATGTGCCTGTTTGTTTCCCCTCTGTTGTTTTGCTGTTGTGATTTTTGAGTCCTTTAATACTGGTAGCCAGATTTTGTTCATTTTCATGGTCTTCCTTTCTGTTGAAATTGTCCACATGCTTGTGGATTTCAATGGCTTCTCTGTGTAGTCTGACATGGTGGTTGTGAGAGTGGTCCAGCATTTCTGTGTTCTCAAATAATATGCTGTGTCCAGGCTGGTTCATCAGGTGCTCTGCTATGGCTGACTTCTCTGGTTGAGTTAGTCTGCAGTGCCTTCCATGTTCCTTGATGCATGTCTGGGCGCTGCGTTTGGTGGTCCCTATGTAGACTTGTCCACAGCTGCATGGTATACGGTAGACTCCTGCAGAGGTGAGAGGATCCCTCTTGTCCTTTGCTGGATTTTCTTGGTGGGTCTGTAGATAGTTTGTATGTTGTGTTTCCTCATCAGCTTCCCTCTGCGGTCAGTGGTTCCCTTGATGTCTGGCAAGAACACTTTCTCTGGGTGGATCTTCATCTTGACTCTCGTGGCTTCTTCTCAGTTGTCTTGCAGCTCTTCTGATGTCTGAGGTGGAGTCTCCATTGGCCTGGAGAGCCCAGTTGAGGTGGTTCAGTTCCTCTTGGAGGAGGTGGGCTTCGCAGATTCTTTTTGCACGGTCTGCCAAGGCTTTAATGGTGCTTCTTTTTTTACTTGGGTGATGGTTGGAGTTTTTATGTAGATATCTATCTGTGTGTGTGGGTTTTCTGGAGACGGTGTGACCCAATTGTTGATCTGGTTTGCGGATGACTAGGACATCTAGAAAAGGCAGTCTTCCTTCATTTTCTTTTTCCATGGTGAACTGGATGTTTGGGTGGATGCTGTTGAGATGTTCCAGGAACCTGTTGAGTTCTTCTTCTCCATGGCTCCAAATGGTGAAGTGTCATCCACATATCTGAACCATATCGTGGGCTTTTTGTTGCTGTTTCCAGGGCTTGTTTTTCAAAGTGTTCCATGTAGAAATTAGCTATGACCGGGCTGAGAGGGCTCCCCATAGCTACTCCATCTTTCTGTTCATAGAACTCATTCTTCTGCATATTTAGGCCTTTCTAAGTCGTGAATGCCTTTTCCCCCTTTTTGGAAATTCTCCCCCAACACAGGGCTCAATGGATGGAATCCTTGGAGTTGTAGTTTGGTGTAGTACAGACCTTGCTAAAGACCTCCAGGACTACAACTCCCATGGGTCTATAGCATTGAGCCAGGGCAGTTCAAGTAGTGCCAAACTGCATTCCTCCTGCAGCCTTGGTTTGAGTTTGGAAGACTTCATCCAGATCTGCAGCATGGGGTTCAGCAACCACACCTGTCCCGTTGTCCCCGATTTCCATTGCAAGGAGTGCATGGAATTCTTATTTACTGACCCTCTTCTCCTTGCAGCCAGCTCTCCATCCGATATCTTGAAGGAGGCCAAGGTGGACCTCATTTCCTTAGAGAAATGCAACAGCACCAACTGGTACCACGGAAACATCACTGACAAAAGCCTGTGCGCTGGATACGAGGGAGGTGGTGTCGACACGTGCCAGGTAGGGCTCAGTTGTCCACGATCATGCATTGCAAGCATTGAGAATACTGCTCGGTTCAGCAAGAAAAGTGTTGTACTGGATAGCCTCGAGGGGACTCTGTTGGGATCAAAGGTCTGGAGAACATGAATCCCCCTGAGGAGCGTCTTAAAGAATTGGGTATGTTTAGCCTCAGAAGAGAAGGTTGGGAGGAGACATGATCACCATCAAGAGAAGGTTGGGAGGAGACATGATCACCATTCACCGTCTATAAACATGTGAAAGGATGTCTTCAGGAAGAGGGAGGACTCTCCTTTCTGCTGACCTTGAAACTAGAACTCAGGGCCATGGGTTCAAATTGCAGGAAAGGAGATTCCATTGAACATTAGGAAGAACTTCCTGATCATAAGAAAAGTCATTCACTAGTGGAACTCTCTGCCTTGGAATGTAGTGGAAGCTCCTTCCTTGGAAACTTTTAAACAGATGGTGGATGGCCATCTGCCAGGGATGCTTGGATTGTGCTTTTCCTGCCTGGCAGAAGGGGGTTGGACTAGATGGCTCATGTGGTCTCTTCCAAATCTGCAATTCTATTATTCCTGCCACTTGGATTGTGACTTCCTGCCTGACAGAAGGGGATTGGACTGGATGGCCTTTGGAGTCCCTTCTGATTCTCCGCCCAAGATTCTCCTTCTCTGGAAGTTTTGAAATAGATGTTGGAAGTCCATGTTTTGGGAAGACTTTAGTTGTGTCATCCTGCTGAAGGATGGCAGAGCCTCCTTTGGAAGTTGGGTGGTGACTCTTAGGTCTACTTTAGCTGTGGATAGACCTGCACCGACGGTTGGACTAGATGGCTTTGGGGTCTTGACTAATTTCAAGGTACAGGCTGTAGAATCCTAGAGTCAAAGAATCTTAGAGTTGAAAAGGTTCCCCAGAGGCAATCCAATCCAACCACCAAAGCAGGTTGCTGTCTAGTTCTGGGCAAAATCTTGCCCTCCAGGTCTTTTGGACTTCAACTCACACAATTCCTAACAGCCTACCTCGAGAAAAAGAGACTCCATGAAGTCTCAAGGCAAACAGTCCTGTTGCCCAATTGCTCTCATCACTAAGAAGTTCCTTCTAATTTTCAATCAAAATCTATTCTCCTGTCACCATGAGACCTGGTCCTATTCCTGTGTGGGGCATCAGAGAACCTCTCTTCCTCTCCTCTCTGGCACAACCCATTGGGAATGCCCTTCAAAGAGATACCCAAACCAAGCTGGCTCCTCTTCCTCATCTTCCTCTTGCAGTCTCTCATGGAGTCAGCAAATCAGAGTTGGAAGAGACCACATGGGCCATTTGGTCCACCCCCAGGAAAAGCACGATCAAAGCATCCCTGACAGATAGAAAAGCACAATCAAAGCATCCCTGATAGATCCTTGGAAGCTTTTAAACCAATAAAAGAGATGAATATAAAAAAGTAGAAGTCCACAAGCAAAAAAGCCAAATAAAGCAGCAACATAAGCAGTGTCCAAACACAGGAATAATAACAATGTTGCAAAGCTTGCAGAAATAATCCAAATGCAATGAATAACCAAAAGCCTTCAAAATAAAACCATGAACAGACTAGCCACTGCTAATCCACTTGAAAAGCCAAGAATCCTTAGAGACAAGGCCACATGAAACAGGAATATCCAGGAGACTTGAGCGTGATTCCAAACGATGCCTAGTCTAAAGAAAATTCTCTAAGAGCTCAATTTAAATCCCCCAAACTGGTTTCTACTCCCCCCAGTTTTTGGCCTTAACTGCCGGATTCTTTCTGACCTGCATAAACATTGGGCCTCTCGATGGTTCTGGCTGATTTCCAGATGGCGACTGGTCTTATCTATCTCCTCATTAACTACAGCAGGTGTGAAACTATCTTGCAAACTCAACCTTGAAGAAGGAAGTAAACTTTCTTCCCTGTCTGTGACAGGAACTTTCTCATGAGAACTTAGCCCAGTGGTTCTCAACCTGGGGTCCCCAGATGTTTTTGGCCTTCAACTCCCAGAATTCCTAACAGCTGGTAAAATGGCTGGGATTTCTGGGAGTTGTAGGCCAAAAACATCTGAGGACCCCAGGTTGAGAACCACTGACTTATCCTTTCCCCTGACCCTTCCCCATCAGAGTCTGCAGTAACCTTATTGTCCAAAGTGACTCCATTTTGCACCTCATCCTCATTGATCACATCAGGTTTATCCAAGTTAGACACAGAAACATTCTAAGGGGGAAACACAATCACAGATCCAGGCTCAAACACAGTCAAGAAGTTTTTCCTAATGTTCAGGTGAAATCTCCTTTTCTGTCATTTGAACCCATGGCTCGATTGAGTCCTAGTCTCCAGGGCAGCAGAAAGGAAGCTTGCTCCCTTTCTTATGGCACCCTTTCACATATTTATACATGGCTCCTCTCATGTCTCCTCTCAGTCTTCTCTTCTGAGGCTAAGCAGACGCAGCTCTTTAAGATGCTCCTCAGAGGGATTCAGGGTCTTCAGACCTTTGATCCTTTGAGTCTCCCTCTCCTTCTGGACCCCTTCCAGCTTAGTCAATATCTCTTTTGAATTGTTTTGCCCCGAATTGGTCACGGTGTGATTCCAGGGAAAGAGGCCTGACCAAAGCAGAAGAGAGAGGCACCAGGACTTTCCTTGACCTGAACACTCAACTCCTTTGATTGCTGTCCAGGATCTTTTTCAGCTCCTGCTTCACACTCTTGGCTCATATTCAGCTTGTTCTCCACAAAGACTCCAAGATCGTTCTCACACAGTCTGTTGTCAAGCCAGGCATTGTTAATTTATTGAGATACATTACCTCTCTCTCATTATTATCTCAATACTTCTTGTCTTGGCTCTCCGGCGTCTGCTCGGAGGCGCAAGGAAAATAAATACACCAAGCTACTTTGAATCAATTCCAAAGCATGGGGTGGCTTCCTTTATTGCAAATACTAAAAACTACAAAACTATTTACAGAAGTAGCAAAAACATGTTTATCCACTAGGCTTGGTTGATCCAAAGAAATTGGTTCAAAACTCGTCTCGGATGTAGGGGGCGCTAGTGGTTGATTTCTAAAGTCAATTCCGATTTTCACAGAAAAAAAATGTTCAAAACTTTCCAAAACTTCTGAGACTTTTGAATCCTTTTGTTAATGGTTTGAAAGTGTTATTTCCTGTTTCATTGGGTGGTCTTTACTTTGAAAGTAGTTGTTTTACTCCAGAAGTGGGGGAAAGTAAGCAGAGGAAATTTCTTCCTTCTCTGGTTTAAAATTGGCTTCTCTGGCTTTAAGACTGGCTTCTCTGTCTTGAGCCGAGGCCAGGAAATTCCTTCTTTCTCAGGTTTGAAACTGGCTTCTCTGGCTTTAAAACTGGCTTCTTTGGCTTTAAAACTGGCTTCTCTGGCTTGAGCCGAGGCCAGGAAATTCCCTCCTTCTCAGGTTTAAAACTGGCTTCTCTGGCTTTAAAACTGTCTTCTCTGGCTTTAAGACTGGCTTCTCTGGCTTGAGCCGAGGCCAGGAAATTCCTTCTTTCTCAGGTTTAAAACTGGCTTCTCTGGCTTTAAAACTGGCTTCTTTGGCTTTAAAACTGGCTTCTCTGGCTTGAGCCGAGGCCAGGAAATTCCCTCCTTCTCAGGTTTAAAACTGGCTTCTCTGGCTTTAAAACTGGCTTCTCTGGCTTGAGCCGAGGCCAGGAAATTCCCTCCTTCTCAGGTTTAAAACTGGCTTCTCTGGCTTTAAAACTGGCTTCTCTGGCTTGAGCCAAGGCCAGGGACCCGAAGCAGAGAAAAGCAGAATAATTTCCAACTCACTTCATGAGTCGTAACAAAAATGGCGGAAAAAGCTTCGGAAGGGCAAAGGGACTTCCGATTTTTAAAAAAGCTTCGATATCGCTTCAAAAAGGTAATTTTAACAAAATTATTACGAGCAACGAGTTATCTGAGCAACTCTATCCATGCCAACTATCCACCTAGCTGTACATCGTTGAAAGCAAAGGACACATGGTTATCAGATCTCTGTGGAATGTAAATACGTCACCAGAACACTCCAAAGTTACGCTCTAGGACTCTATCACAGCTCAATGCATTTAACACTTCATTGCTATATCCCACAGTTTAAACTATTTGTTTTCTATACCGATCTTCTCACCTACAAGAGGGACTCAGATCCGGTTCACAACATGTGTTCATATACAAAAATACAAACCACACAATGCGTCATCTTTACACAATTAAAAACATATTACAATACAACATCGTCATCATCACACTCACATAGCCACGTCGTCAAAGCATTCCTGGTCATAATTCACAGTTATTCATTCTCCTTCCATGTGGACCAAAGCTGACTCAGTTGTCAAAGGCCGCATTCCATAGCCAAGTCTTTGTTAGCTTCCTGAGCGTCAGGAGGGAGGGAGCAGTTCTAATCTCCTGTGGGAGGGAGTTCCAAAGCCGGGGAGCCACCATCGAGAAGGCCCTGTTTCTCGTCCCCACCAACCGCGATTGTGACAGTGGTGGGATCAAGAGCAGCCCCCCCCCCCCGGAAGATCTTAAAGACCTTGATGGTTCGTAGGGGAGAATCCGTTCGGACTATAACAATATTTCACTCCATTTTAAACACCTTATTCTGACAGCATCACCCATTCTGTATCTTTTCATTTCATTTTTTTTTACCTCAGTGGAGTAGCTTACATTTGTCCTTGTTGAACTTCATGTTGTTACTTTTGGCCCACCAGCTCTCATGGCGGCCTCTTTCTCTCTTTTCCGGCTGCAGGGTGACAGCGGTGGGCCTCTCTTGTGCCGCGAAGCCCGCTCCGAGCGCTACTGGGTGGTTGGCGTCACCAGCTGGGGTCAGGGCTGTGCTAGAGCCCAGAAGCCCGGCGTCTACACTTCCACGCAGCACTTCTACGACTGGATCCAGGGCTACATCAAAAACGAGGAGGACTCCGGGCTCCAGACTTTACCACCATCACCATCAGAAGAGACCCCAGCCCAACTGGAAGCGACCCCCGAAACAGAGACGGTGCCCACTCCATTTATCCAGTCCCAAACTGCTTATGGGCAGATAATTATGAATGATGAGAGCGCAATGCAAATCAAAACCAGCCCAGAGACGACGACAACGACGACGACGACGACTACGAGTACAACTACGACGACAACAACAACAACAACGCAAACACCGGAGGAAACCACATCCCAACCCCCCACGACGACATCCCAACCACAGCCCCCTCCCATGAAGCCCCCCTCAGTGTTTAAAGCAATCCATTTGTTGCCACCAGAGAACCAGTCGCAGGAGGAAGTCCAGTCCAAAGAAAAGGAGGAGGTCACAGCTGTGTTGGTCTCTACAACGGTGACCACAAAGGCGACCCCTTCCACCACCCGGTCCCAGGCCCCACCGCCCAAGCCCCCTCGGCGCAAGGAGATGATTGTGTCCAGTGCCCAGTATGGCAGCAGCAAGTGGGGCATCAAGTGGCCCAAGTATTGGCCGAGCAACAGGCAGGCCAATTCCCAAAACTAGGCCTCCTTGGGAAGACCCAGGCTCTTTTCTTGTATTTCTTTTTGCAAGCCATGGAACATTTTTGTAGAAATAGACAGCAATCATCGCACTTCACACAAAACTTGTACTTATAATAAAACCTACCACACTCAGACTGGTCCCTTTCCCGTTTCCTGCATTGATTTTGGGTTCAGCAGCAAACGCAGAAATAGGTTGGGTGATATTGTGGACTTTTGGGGGTTATGTCTATTACAGAAATTAAGGTAAAGGGTTATTCTGTATGTCTATTACAGAAATTAAGGTAAAGGGTTATTCTGTATGTCTATTACAGAAATTAAGGTAAAGGGTTATTCTGTATGTCTATTACAGAAATTAAGGTAAAGGGTTATTCTGTATGTCTATTACAGAAATTAAGGTAAAGGGTTATTATGTATGTCTATTACAGAAATTACGGTAAAGGGTTATTCTGTATGTCTACTACAGAAATTAAGGTAAAGGGTGGTTAGATATTTATATTACAGAAATTAAGGTAAAGGGTTATTCTGTATGTCTATTACAGAATAACTCTTTATTCTGTATGTCTATTACAGAATAACTCTTTATTCCGTATGTCTATTACAGAATAACTAATTAAGGTAATGGGTTATTATGTATGTCTATTACAGAAATTAAGGTAAGGGGTTATTATGTATGTCTATTACAGAAATTAAGGTAAGGGGTTATTATTATGCATGTCTATTACAGAAATTAAGTTAAAGGGTTATTCTGTATGTCTACTACAGAAATTAAGGTAAAGGGTTATTATGTATGTCTATTACAGAAATTATGGTAAAGGGTTATTATGTATGTCTATTACAGAAATTATGGTAAAGGGTTATTATGTATGTCTATTACAGAAATTAAGGTAAAGGGTGGTTAGATATTTATATTACAGAAATTACGGTAAAGGGTTATTCTGTATGTCTACTACAGAAATTAAGGTAAAGGGTGGTTAGATATTTATATTACAGAAATTAAGGTAAAGGGTTATTCTGTATGTCTATTACAGAATAACTCTTTATTCTGTATGTCTATTACAGAATAACTCTTTATTCCGTATGTCTATTACAGAATAACTATTAAGGTAAAGGGTTATTATGTATGTCTATTACAGAAATTAAGGTAAAGGGTTATTATGTATGTCTATTACAGAAATTAAGGTAAAGGGTTATTCTGTATGTCTATTACAGAAATTAAGGTAAAGGGTTATTCTGTATGTCTATTACAGAAATTAAGGTAAAGGGTTATTATGTATGTCTATTACAGAAATTAAGGTAAAGGGTTATTATGTATGTCTATTACAGAAATTATGGTAAAGGGTTATTATGTATGTCTATTACAGAAATTAAGGTAAAGGGTGGTTAGATATTTATATTACAGAAATTACGGTAAAGGGTTATTCTGTATGTCTACTACAGAAATTAAGGTAAAGGGTGGTTAGATATTTATATTACAGAAATTAAGGTAAAGGGTTATTCTGTATGTCTATTACAGAATAACTCTTTATTCTGTATGTCTATTACAGAAATTAAGGTAAAGGGTTATTCTGTATGTCTATTACAGAAATTAAGGTAAAGGGTTATTCTGTATGTCTATTACAGAAATTAAGGTAAAGGGTTATTCTGTATGTCTATTACAGAAATTAAGGTAAAGGGTTATTCTGTATGTCTATTACAGAAATTAAGGTAAAGGGTTATTATTCATGTCTATTACAGAAATTAAGGTAAAGGGTTATTATTCATGTCTATTACAGAAATTAAGGTAAAGGGTTATTCTGTATGTCTATTACAGAAATTAAGGTAAAGGGTTATTCTGTATGTCTATTACAGAAATTAAGGTAAAGGGTTATTCTGTATGTCTATTACAGAAATTAAGGTAAAGGGTTATTCTGTATGTCTATTACAGAAATTAAGGTAAAGGGTTTTTCTGTCTCCCAGGAGCCTGATCTGCCTCACTTTAAAGTTGTTTGAGGTTGCTTCCTCTTGCATTTTCTCCCAGGGCTGCTGCATCTTTGCAAGAGTCTTAAAAGTTAATAGTATCAGAGTCTTCAGTCCTCTTTGCAACTATTGGCTTAGAGAGCAGCTCTTTGAGTTTAGGGACCGCCTTTTCTCCCAGGGAAAGATCTCCATTTTAGTTTCCCCCCTGCCTTTTCAGTTTGAGGAAAGACTTCAGGACGTGCTGATGGCTAAGCAGTTAGCTCTGGGAAAACCATTGCAAAAACTAAACTGAGTAAGCTATATTGAGATAATATAGATAGTATATTGCGTTTTGAGCTGTTTTTGAGGTATTATAGACAGATAAGCTTAATTGAGAAGATTGAGTTTTATAGTTATAGAGAGAGAGTCTTGACAGCTTTGTCTCCAGGACTGACCTTAAGTTATAGATAGGGAAAAAACCTGCTTTTTTCTAAACCACAACAGCTTAAGGTTAGGGTGTTAAGATTCCAGGATCTTATCTGCCATCTGGAAAAAAAGGGTTGCCCCTGTAACTATAGGAAAGAATATTTTTGTAGCTTCATCTATTGACAGTTTGTTTGCAACTTTGATGAACTGTGCCAAGTCTTCAAGGACTTTGAATAAATAAATATCCTTTTTTGATGTTTAAACCAGTAATAGTCTCAGTTGCTGAGTATCTCAAGCTTCTCAATATAGACACTTGCAGTTCACTCAGACATAAAGAGAAGCACGTCGCAGTTTTTTTTTATATCGTCTGGGCGGACGGCACATAGAGTGTGGTTAGATATTTCTATTACAGAAATTAACATAAAGTGTGGTTATGTATAGAACTTAAGGTAAAGTTGGTTATTTACGCCTATTTCAGAAATTAAGGAGAAATATGGTTAGATATACCTATTAGGCCTGGGTAACAACGGAAAAATTTGTTTCTAAAATCGATTTGTATTTGGGGTTTTTTTTGTTTCGATATTTAAAATAATTACAAAATTTTCCTTTTAAAAAGTTCGATATTTACGAAATTTCGTAAATGGTAAAAAATTAACGAATCGATTTCCGAAACAATAACGAATCGATTCGTTAATGGCGGACGCGACCGCGAAATACGCTAAAAAACCTCCAAAACCTTCTGAAGCTTCCCTCTCCCTCTGTTGTTGACTGTTGGTGTGATATTATAAATTTTTTTCACTAATTAAACCATAAAACTGGCCCAGACATGCGGAAATAATAACGAAACGACCTCAAAACAATAACGAAACGAATACAATATCGAAATACGAAGCATTTACAAAACGTTTTTGAAAATTCGTTTTTTTAAATAATTGCTCCAGAATGGTTCGTTATCGTTTTGTAATTGAAAAAATTAACGAATTATTAACGAATTACGAATTAACGAAACGAAACCGCCCAGCCCTAATACCTATTATAAAGAGTTAACATTTAGCAATTGATTGTCTTTAGTCACATTGCTCCTCATACCTAGATATGTCTAGAAATTAAGGTAAAAGTGTTACATATGTCTATTAACCGTCCTGAGTCGTCTCTGGACTGAGAAAGGTGGTATAAATGTGGTAAATGGTAAATAAATATTACAGAAATTAAGGTAAAATATGGTTAGCTATATATATTACAGAAATTAAGGTGAAAGGTGTAGTTGTTTATGTCTATTACAAAAGTTAAGGTAACAAGTGTAGTTAGATATATCAAGAAATGAAGGCTAAAGTGGGGTTACATGTGTCTATTACTGTAAGGCTGTAGGTTTTATATAGCAATATTAAATGATCACTCACAAGCCGGTTTTGCTTGGAAATGAATATATTGCTTGTATCTCTGCAGCAAAGAAAGACACTACTGACTTGTTCCCACCACCACTTCCTTTTATACACCTTTCCTGCCCATCTCCCCCTCTTCTCAGTTTCCTTATTAGAGCTGTAATATATATGGTTGGTTAGCTATATATATTACAGAAATTAAGGTGAAAAGTGTAGTTATTTATGTCTGTTACAGAAATTGTTAAAAGTGTGGTTATTTATGTCTATTACAAAAGTTAAGGTAGTTATTTATGTCTACTACAGAAATTAAGGTAACAAGTGTAGGTAGATATATCAAGAAATGAAGGCTAAAGTGGGGTTACGTATGTCTATTACAGAAATTAAGGTAAAATGTGGTTGTGTATATTTACTACAGAAATCAAGGCAAAGTTATTTATGTCGATTACAGATATTAAGGTGAAAAGTATGGTTATGTACATCTGTTACAGAAATTAAAGCTAAGTTGGTTGTTTATGTCTATTACAGAAATTAAGGTAAAAAGTATGTATGTTTATTACCGAACTTAAGGTAAAGTATATTTATCTCCAGACAATGTAAGAAAGTAAGTGATTTGTTGGCATCAGGAATCAGATAATGGATTAATAGGAGAAAGCTGGAGGAATACTGTTTGAATAGAGTTTTCAAAAGATTGAATGTAGGACATTTAATTGCTGGATGAAACATTAACAACCTGAGATATCATCATCATCATCATCATCATCATTTAATAACTTACTAATCGCCCTCCATCCGAGAATGCTCTAGATATGCAGATGATACCACTTTGATGGTGAAAGTGAGGAGGAGCATTCCATGAAAATCTGCCGTTCTGTGAATGCACCATCTTCTCTGTCCCTTGGGAAAAGTGATGGGTGATCAGACCTTGCTGTCTGCCACACTTTTAAATAGTAAAAAGGTCTCTTATATAGCAATTTTCTGCTACTGTTGTTACAAAAAGTTGTAAATGACTGACAGGTTGTTTTTTTCAGCTAAAACTTGCTGGCTACATCAGTTCCGGACAGATGTTAGTTTTTCTTCCTTAAGTAAGGTGCATTGTGTTTGTTTTGACTATGTAGAATCATAGAATCCTAGAATCAAAGAGTTGGAAGAGACCTCCTGGGCCATCTAGTCCAACCTCCTGTCAAAAGCAGGAATATTGCATTCAAATCACCCCTGACAGATGGCCATCCAGCCTCTGTTTAAAAGCTTCCAAAGAAGG